AATATTTCCCACGTTCTGGCGATCTTCGGCTTGTTCTGGTGTTCCGGGTCACATCTGACCCGACCGGGTCAAGTAGGGGACCCGACTGGGTTTGGTAATTTCCTTGCTTCTTCGGTTGTTAAATCTTACCCGACCGGGTGGGGATTTCTACCCGGTCGGGTTTTGCTCCTGGGCAGTCAAATTTCTTGTTTTATTCTCTTCAAAGTCCTCTTTTCCAACACCATAAATCCTAAATCTATTTTACAACTTATAAATGAAGATTAAAATACAATTACAACTAAAATCACACAAATGTTCACAAACTAAATAAAATGGTAAACAATCCACACAAATCAAACATAAAAACATACCGGTTGGCATAAAATTAGCCATGCCGGATAGTTGTCAATGAGCACAATTTGATGGAGTAATTAATAAGGGAGTATGAGAATCTAGCAAAGATTCTTGGTATTGGGTGTCTATTAGGCTTGATACTGCTATTGATCTTTGGTGCATTCCTTCTCTGGCTGTATTAATTCTTTTTGGATGATTATTCGGCTTCATCACTCTTTCTTAGAAAAATTTAGTTAATACTATTCTAAAGTACCAGACTTTTGTAAAGTTAGCCAATTCTTTCTAAAGTTAGACTTTAGTAAAGTTAGCCTATTAATTAAGAATAGTACTTCCTTCACAAGTTCGAGTCCTATCCTATTCAAGGATGTTGACATTATCTTGAACAGGGCCGTCTCCAGGAATTTTGATGCCCCAGACAAAAAAATGACGAATGAGATCAAATAATATTTAAAAATAATAACATAATTAAATATGAAGTGATTAAAAAATTATAACATCGTTTTTTTAGTAAATGTGAAAGGTAAAACTTGACATAAAATTGATATAAAGTATGTGAAAATATAAATTCTTCAAACAAATAAACAAAATTATAAAAGTACTACCTAATAACCTATTCTTCTTGCTTTTTGATGTGCAAAATTTGTAAGTACATCTCCAAAATCAAGAGTAGATAGCACTTTTTTTTCTATAGATAACGTAGCAAGCCCACTTAACCTCTCTTGTGACATTGTTGAACGGAGATAGTTCTTTATCAACTTCAACTTCGAAAAACTTCTTTCGGCAGATGCAACTGTCACGGGAATAGTTAACAAAATTCTGTAAGCAACCCAAGCGTGCGGAAAAGAAATATGCATCTCTTTAATGTACTCCATCACTTCAATGACTTTTTTTTAATCTTCAGGTAGTGACTTGCTTAACAATTGAAGTTCCGAAAATAACTCAACTGTATCAATATCGCAATCATCCTCGTGCTTCAAAAAACTCCCAAGGGTATCACAAGAACGAGCCAACTCTTCATCACTTATTGTCCTTAGCTTACTCACATTATACAAGAATCCAAAAGTTTCTTCATATTTCTGAAATTGTTCAAATCTAGTTTCCAACGAAGAAATAGCATTATCAACAACTACTAAGAAATATGCTCCTCTAAACACATCATCCGCAGACTTCATTGGCTCATCATTTGCTTTCTCATCAAAAAACTTCTTTTTGGTTCGAATACGGATCTCGCGAAATTGAGGCTCAATATGTAAATCAGTGGCAATATTTTGAGCTTCAATTTTGGCTTTCTCAAACCCTTCTTCTCTATATTCCTTGAAAAATAAAATCAATCCTTTCAAGAGATTTAAAGCCACACCAACATCCATATCTCTTTGTTGAAGCACTTTGCTGATTTTGTTCACTTTGTTTAACACCTCATACCAAATTATCAGACTAACAATAAAATCAAAGTTCATTTCATATTCAGACAAGGACTTAGCATCACTCACAGTGCTAGCATCATTACTAGTTTTCACCAAGTGCTCCAATGCCTCTTGTATTTGTGGTGCCTGAAATCTGATTGCTCTAACACTAGCAATACGACTTTCCCAACGTGTATCAGACCACGACTTTAGAGTAAGACCTTTTCCATCACGATCTTTGACAAAGGTCTTAAAAATCTCCCACCGTTTTGTTGAGCCTGAAATTATTAATGGTCACAATATATTATTAATCAATAGTGAAATAATAACAACTATATAAAAGTTGATAAATAAATAAATAATAAATGAGCTAATATATAGATAGAGATGTACCTGAAAATAATTTATAAATTCGTTGTACCACACCAAAAAAAGTTTTTGCTTGTGGACAACTTAATGCCATGTCACAAAGGGAAAGATTAAGAGAATGACAACCACATGGTGTGTAAAATGCTCTAGGATATTCTCTTAGCACTCTAGCTTGCACACCTTTATTGTCTCCTTTCATGTTTGAACCATTGTCATAACCTTGTCCTCTCACATTATTGAAATCAAGCTCATGGGTCTGAAGTAAGCATTTAAGCTCATCAAAGAGAGCCTCTCCAGTTGTCTCAACTACCTTCACAAATGTAATGAAAAACTCTTCAATTCTTACTGGAGTAGTAGACACATTGACACATCTTATTATAAGTGTCATTTGCTCCTCATGACTCACATCCGGTGTGCAATCAAGAATAATGGAGAAATACTTGGAATCTCTAACAATTTGAAGGATCTTCTTTTTCACTTCACCTGCTAATAACTGTATCATCTCGTTTTGAATATTATGACCAAGATAATGATTTCGAATCTCTTTCTTGCGTATACGCCTAAGGTGCTCTTCCATTATTGGATCAAACTCGGCAATCATATTTATGATCTTGAGAAAGTTCCCATTTTTCTCATCTCCAATCTTTTCATTATCACCTCGAAATGCAATATTACAAGTAGCAAGAGTTTTAACAACACTCATGATTCTTTTAAGCACAGCTCTCCAATACTCCTTCTCTTTATCAATCATTCTTTCTCGAAAAGCAGCAATAGTTGTCTTCTTTTTCAGTCTTATTTCTGCTTCTCTCCAAGCTTCAATGCTACGAATATGGTCATTGCTCAATTCATGCTCCGCAAGTCTATGATGTATATTGTGCCAATCGTTATACCCTTCACCTGGGGTAGTCAAAGGGCTTGACACTCCACCTATCTTAAACAAGACACAACAAAAACAAAAGACTTTGTTTTTTGACATTGAATACACTAACCATGAGCGGTCATATTTTTCACCATTTGTCAAGCACCGAGTATAGTTTTTGTCACTAAAACTCCGTTTTTTATCAACGGGGTAATCATGACCAGTTATTCTTATTGGGCCTCTCTCAACTAGAAAATCTTTTTCTTTTTGAGAAATAGGTACTTTCCAATTACCTGGATCACATAACTCGGTCATATCAAGAGTAACAGGAAACACATCTACTATATCATTCCCAACAGCAGCATTCGTCTCCTCGTCATCTACAACACATCTACCCTCATCCTTGGTTTCATTTTCGATCTCAAGTGAAACACCAATAGTTTCATTCTCATCTTTATCATTTGCCTTGAGATCTTTGTTTGAGGTCGATGGAGAAGGATTTACTTTTACATACCTATCCATGGAACCCGCAAAAGATTGCATTACTTCATCTTTTCTTTTCTTAATTTTTCTCTTTAAAGCTCCTGACTCTTGTTTCCGTTTCCCGGTCATAGTAGATACTACAAAATAATAATTTAGCACTGAATATTAGGTATATTACAAGTTAGTAAATATTAAATATGGAAACAAATAAGACAATGTTTAAAAAAACAAGTTCAAACTAAATTTAATAAATGAATAACTGCAAGAAAAAAAGGAAAAAAAATTAACACAAAGTTTCAAGTTCAATACAATTAATAATAATTAATAATTAATAAATTAGATGGAGAATAAGACATTTACAAATTTTAATTTCTAATATCTATGCTGAATTTTACAAAAAACAAAATCTATGCTAAATACTGAATTGGGGATGGGAGAATAATTGAAGAAATCATTGAAATATACTAGTACCGTAGTTCGTATTAACAAGTTAAAGTTGAATTGTTGAAATCTAAAAAATTGGAAGTAGATCATTACCTGGTTTGCAAATTGGTAGGGCTGTAGGGCATCTGTCGCCTGGCAGAAGTGCAGAAGAAATCGGCCGAATGGGTGGCTTTACTTGCTGGGCAGAAATCGGCCGAATGGGTGGCGAAGAGTCCAAGTTGTTTTCCTCTTCCGATTTTGAATTAATTAATCAATAGGATTCTAGGGAGTAGGGACTACTGACTAGGGTATGGGGTGAGTGGGGTCCTAAATTTTAATTTGATACGGAGTACTTTTGTAGACTTTTGACATTACTTTTGACAATGATCATCCGGACCTACGGAGTATATTAATTAATATAATATATGTATATATAATAATACTAGGCTTTTTACTCAAAAATGATGCCCCCTTTGGGGGTGGTGCCCTAGGCCATTGCCTAGGTGCCTACCCCCTATGGCCGGCTCTGATCTTGAACATATACTACAATAGGTTTAGGATATGCAAAAACAGGAAAAAGGAATATTATTTCCTATTATATTAGGAATAAGGTTATTGTTTTTGTTCCCGTATTCACATTTTAGAAAGCCCAAACAATAAAGTACCTTTTGATTTTTTTTTTTGCTTTCAGCCTTAGAAAAATGGGTTTAAGAATTAATGGACGTTATGTGAAAGTTCTCTTTTCTGATGAGCACTTATAAGTTTAAACTTTAATATAATTCATGCTGGGGTTGTCAACTTTTAGTCCGTATTATACTGGCACTGTACAATGAAAAACTGAACAATTAAAATTAGCATTTTAATTTTTAAATCAACCATCTTGTCCTTTCAAAAAAAAAAAATCAACCATCTTGTTAATGATAGTGATGTATAATATTCTATATAAGATCTAGATAGAGAAATGAACAAGAAGTAAAGTGTAATGTAGATAATAAATCTCTTCTGTCTTTTATATATAGAGAAAAGACCTATGGACCTAGACAATGCCATGGGCCGGATACAATCTACAGGCTAGGCCCCAATACAAGAAATACATAATCTCAGGTACCCTGGTCCAGGATAGTATATATCCATCAAATAGTATAACATAGCTATCCATGATATTTTGAACTTTTTATTCCATCTGATTTAGAAGCACTCTTCCATGAGATTGCAGAATATGACCTATAAATGTCTCAATTTAGTTTGATCAAGCTAACTTTTAAACTTCTCTGCTTGTACTATTGGAATAAGACCTTCACACTAGTTGCATGTTGCACATTCATTGCTTCCTATTGTTCATTCAGTACTTCAATTTCCGATTTTCAAGCTTTGTTCATAAAAAGCAGGTCTACTTTTTTCCTTTTTTAAATCGTAATAAATGCCCATAGGTTTGACGTCAATAGTTAATCAATTAATTCTTTAGATGTAGACATCTAAGATTCTTGATATGTATTATGATTTATATGTTATTGATTTACTTTAGTGATGATGTTGTCATGTTGATTTGTTTCTTCTGCTATATAATGAAATTTGGATTTGAAATCATAAAAGTAAAGAAATTAGAGCAGTTAGACATAAGATGATAATGTAACTTGATATTAAGCGAAACAAATAGCTCGATGTGGAAAACTAAATGTTCCTTGGTTCTATATCAACTCCGTGTATGGAATGAGTATTCACATATAAAGTGAATATGAATCGGACAAAATATCATATTGTAGCCTAGACTTTCCTCTCTGCAATAACACTAATAGTGTATGACTACCATACTATCCATAGACTTCCACTATCATAGTATCCTTGGATGTGTGTGTGTATATAGACAGAGAGAGAGTCCATGTCAGTATATGTTTGTAAATAATTCATTTATCTTGCTGAAAGACTGTTTTTCTAATCAGATTAGCAGAAGGGTTTTTGAGAAGATCAGAAGTGAATGTACAGGTGACACTTCAACTCTACTATGTACAGATACATTGGAGCAAGATAACTCAAATAAACGTCATCATGAAGACGGTGATATAAGCACAAGGAAATCATTTGAGTCATATAAGAGGCGGACAACTGTGGTGGTTCAAAGAAAATCATTTCTAGATGTTGTAAGTGATGCTCTCACTGAATACAAGTACATTGGCCCAAACCAGAGGGCTGACCTGGCTATCGCGTGCAGGTAAGAGCTAATTGATAATGTGCATTCAACAAAATTCCCATAATGAGTTTATGATCTGACTTGTTTTTATCAGGTACTTGGTTTAATTTTAATGTGTAAAATTTTGAGGTTTCATGCAAAGTGGTACTTGTTCCCATAATGGTTATCTACTTGCTACTTTAGCTTATTTATTACACAGGCTGTTATGTGATACAAATTGGGTTACTTCCCCATCATTTTTGGCACTAATAAGTACTAATGGAAGTCATTACTTTTCTTTAACAATATTCTTCAGGATAAGAGAAAGGAAGGAATCTGTTATTGTGCTACTATGTGGGACAAGTGGGTGCGGAAAATCTACTCTTTCTGCATTGCTGGTAGAGTTCTTAAGTAGCTGAAACCTAATTGTTTTAGTTGCTTTAATTGTTTATTTTTATTATTATTTGTATCCATTCTTTGAACTTCAATTTCATTCACATGTACTTATTATAGGTTTATTATCAGGGACTCTGGGAGGGGTGGTTTTACATTTTGAGCTTTGATTAATTCATTAACTATACCAGTCTTCTTGTTATGCTTTGATGACTTCTGAATGGCTCAACTCCTTCAGCAAGTTGTCCCCCTCAATCCCCATGACGGGAGGTATTGACATGATATACCATCTGATACTTTACCAGTTTGCACACATTAAACATGCACCACAGCACCAAAGCAGGAGATTACTGGACCTGCACATTATATGACTTTGCATGGTTTATTGGTTGTACTATAACTTTATAAGATCTCAAGTGATATAAAACTATGAAGTAACAAAACTATCTTTGTCCCCCAAGAAAGGATCATGTTTGTAAAATATAGACCAGTGTTACAAACACACCCATTTTTTTTTCCTAAAGGGGTGCAGGTGGCAGTAGTTTTGAAACAATGTAGTTATCTTACTTTTAAGTATACCTTAATTTCTCTAATTAAATTCTTTTCCACAGGGAAGCAGGCTGGGGATCACAACTGTAATATCCACGGACTCAATTAGGCATATGATGAGGAGCTTTGTCAATGAAAAGGAGAACCCTCTACTTTGGTCTTCAACTTACCATGCTGGGGAACATTTAGATCCACTAGCAGTTGCTGAATCAAAGGCCAAAAGGAAAGCAAAGAAGTTAGGCTATTCTATCCAGACACTAGAAAAGCATGCGGCTAATCCCATCAATTTTATTAGCCCGAAACAAATGGCAATTGAAGGATTTAAGGCTCAGAGTGAGATGGTTATCGAAAGTCTTGATAGATTAATTACTGCATGGGAAGAGCGTAAAGAATCGGTTATTGTGGAGGGTGTTCATTTGAGCCTTAATTTTGTGGTAAGAATTTGCTACTACCTCCGTCCCAAAACGTCTTGTTCGGAAAACTCTTTTTGCCTCCCCCACAGAGCCCTAGCTCATTATATGGGATAATTTTTCATGTGATATGTGAATTGTCAAACCATGTTACAAACATGTTCAATCTGGCAAACTTAGGTAAATCAGGAATAAACTACGGAGTATAAAAAATTGAAGGATTATTAGCTTATTTTATTCCAAACTATCATCAAATTCACAAATCTATCCTATTCTTTCACTTTAAAAAAAGACTTAGAGTTCATCTTTTCAACAATTATGCTTTTCTTTTTTCTTTTTTCAAAATTACACATTTTTATCACTACCTATAAGATATAAGCAATACAAGACTACAAGTATATAAACTTAAAATTAGAAAGAAGTGAAAAAATATGAAATATAAATATGATTTTCTTCGTAATTTTTACTAATTCATCCATTGAAACTGTAATTGTGAGAAAAGTTAAAGTTTGAATCTTTTTCTAATAAAACTGAAAGTATAGGATAGATTTGTGAATTTGATGACAGTTGGGATATATTTAGTTAATAATCCAAAATTGAAAGCCTGATTCCGTGACTTTTAAGAGTTGTACCTTTTGAAAATTGTAAAGTTGTACCTTAATCCGACAATCCGACATGACTACTTTTTTCATCTTCTGGATTTGATTGCAATTCAGCTTTAACATGCAGATGGGGCTAATGAAAAAACACCCTTCAATCCTACCTTTCATGATTTACATCGCAAATGAAGAAAAGCACTTGGAAAGATTTGCAGTTCGTGCGAAATACATGACGCTGGACCCAGCCAAAAACAAATATGTCAAATATATACGTAACATCAGGACAATACAAGAATATCTCTGCAATTGTGCTGACAAGCATTTGGTGCCAAAAGTGAACAACACTAATGTTGATAGAAGTGTAGCATCGATCCATGCAACAGCATTCAGTTGCCTAAGGAGGCGTGAGGCAGGGGAGAAGCTTTATGATCCTTCCACAAACACAGTTTCTGTTATTAATGAGGAATACAGAAATCAGCGTGCTGCAAATTCCTGGAGCTCAAAGGGTGTGCTTAAACTGCTTCAGAGAAATGGTTCTTCTAGGCATATGATGGCTCTTGTCAATTATGACGGGTCGGTAGCAAAGGCTTGGCCAATATACTCATTGGATACCAATGACAATATATTTATGGACTATGGACCGTTACATGTTCAGAAGGCTGAACCGGTCAATCTGCAGTTTGGTTACTTAGGGATAAGTGCTTGGCCAAACGAGACTGGTTGTACAAGCCGTGCTAATAGTTTAGATGGATCGTGAGGGGAGCTGACTGACAATGGCAGTAGGTATCATTCGTCTTGCTGCAGTTCACCAAGGTTCTATGACGGACCTTCTAAGGAGGTGCGTTTGAGTTGATTTCTATCTTCAAAATGAATATGCTGTTTTTTTGTGTTTCTAGTTGTGATGTCTTACCATTTTAATTTTTTCCCCAATCTCACTGACTTGTGTGTGTTTTCATTCATTAGCTCAAAGAGCAACAATTTGTCAATGGTAGCGATGAAGAGTTTGATGAAATGCCTGAAATAGATAGTGATGAGGATTTTAATAAGGATTCAAAGCATATTCATGAAGAGGTATGCATTTGTCTTATTTGACGCCATATTATATGGAATTCTTTTCCATTTGCTTAACTTGTAACTAGCCCCTTTGGGTTGTCCCTAAATAAAGTATCTATTTTCCTTGAAGGATTGAATGAATGTTTAACTTGAATGTTTACTAAGAAGAATATTTTCGGTTTTTAAAAAAAAGTATAAAACGGAGAAAACAGGAGGAAGGAAAACTGGCAAATGTGTTTACATGCTTATTCTCTAAAATTGAAAAAACGAGACATGTCTCTGCTTTTCTTCTTAAGTTGTAGAAGTCACTTTTTCTTGTTTTCCAAAACAGAAATACTCGGTGCTATAGTGCGTCGAGCGTGTTAATGCTTCCAACATGTGTTCTGATTTGGAAAATGGAAACAGAAAATTAGAGAATGTAAAACAGGAAACAAAAATAGAAAGCTGGAGAAATAAGTAAACTGGCCCTTAGTTTTTTGTTTCTAACTGAATTTCAAGCATGCAACTTTATTATCGTAAATTCTGTGCCAACTGCCAAAAGCAAGTAGAGAGTTAATTTTGAGATGGATTAATATTTATGATTTGTTGATTTACAAAGTTGTGCTGTTTTTTTTTTTTATTTGTCATAACTGGAACCATTTGATGATTTGATAGTAAGAGAATTCGACTAAAGTGCCTCTGCTGTGACCAAAATGACAGAGGATAAACCAGGAACATTTTAAAAATGTGTTGCATACGGAGTAATAAGCAAAGGAATCAATATCTTTAGAAGTGTATTATGTACTACTTTGCTTTGATTCAGCTGATACTGTCAAAATGGGGATGTTTTAGATAGAAATTCTGTCCAAAAAACTGATATGCCAAAAATAGGTTACTAAACTGACTCTAGCCGCTAACGTTGTTCATGCTCTTTTTATAGGTGGAGGGATCGGTGGATGAGGAATCAACGAAATCAGATGAGGAATATGACGATCTTGCTCTGTTGGATGGTCAAGAACAGAATGGTTACTACTCTGTTGAGGATGAAGAATCTTGTGATAGGTTTGGCTTGACTCATAAGCTAGTACCTATTTCAGGGAAAACGATGTCGGGGGAAGTTAATGGCAGCTTTGATGGAAGCTACCTACAAAAGTTTGATCTTTTCTCGGGACGTAAAGGCAGTACACTTTTGGAATTACCACTTCGAGAGAGAAATGAGAAGGTAGCTGCAAATTTTTGCAATGACATAGCTGGAATATGTTCTCCCATCATTCCATCCATGGGAAACCATCTGTGTGGTGTATGAAGTCTTGAGGAGGTCTCTGTTTTTTTTCCCTTTGTCTGACTGTCTGCCTTTTCCATTTTGTTTCTCTTTTTAACTTGAGTAAATGAATAATTTGTTGAACAGCCGTAGAAAGGATGTTCTATTGGCGCACACGTAACCGACTGCCTTGGTTTAGGACTAAGGTTGGGCTCAATAATATACTATTAACAGAGTATATCTTACATTCTATTTATTAACACCTCCGACTGATACTGACACAAGGAATTCAAAGTAGGGTACTCAAAACCTGTTAACTTTAAATAAGCTACAAACTGCACACCTCAAAGGCTCAAATTGACAAAAATAATACCAATATGAGTTGATTTCATCAAAACACACAAATGCAACATTCATGACCTAAATATGTGACGGAACGTGTTTGATAGCATGATTGTGATGCGTTTTTAGATTTTACCACCCGTCAAATACTTTTTTTTAACCCTTAAATGTGCAAAATGATTGACAATTTGATTGTCATGGCGTTGCTTAGACAGACTGCACATTTACACCTAGTTCGTTTTCTGTCCAAATCAACTTTGACCCTCTAATTTGACATGTTTCCCAACTGAAATAGCGAAATCAAATCCGAGAAAGAAAAACCTCAATGCAGTCCCCTAAGTATTCTGGTTCTCTTTTTTGGTGTAGTTCATATTTTCCTTGATGTTTTCAATATATGGTTCCGTGGGATAGCAGTCACAAGAATCAAGTCATTGCCTTTTGCTAAAAAATACTTTTCCACCCTATACAAAAAAAGGAACTGGTTCTCTTTTTATCAGTAGTGCTAGAATAAATCTTGTACGTAAGTAAATTAGTAAATTTAACCAAGAACACTTGTGCATCATATTCATACTATAAATAATCTTGTATAAAAATACAGTGTATAGTTGGTCAAATTTCAACATCATTGATAAAAAAACCCAACGATGGTGAGTCTTTCTGGGTTGGGAGGGGTATTAACATTATACACTAATACGTAGTACATTAGAATGGATATTGAACTATTTTATACCACATTCAAGCATTGCATACTGACTACTAAACTACTTGTTGCCCAAGTATCGCTTAGGCCCACAGCTCTTTGACATCCATTGTGAATTGGTCTGGTCTGGACTGGTCTGGTCTGGTCTGGGGCAAATTACAGTCCAAGTAAAAACATCCTTAGTCTCAAATCATACCCACTTAAATACATATATTTTGTAAACTCGATTAGCTAACCATCAAAATCGGTGGGGTATATATGATGGGTATATAAGAGTATGCCTTATACGAATGTAAGGCATACTCATATAGTCTGTAATTAAAGCTTTCTTGATTAAATAAGGAACCTTATTAATGCTAAAATAAGAAATATCAAATAAATTGTTGTAACTTGTAAGTAAATAAGTGTCTGTCCAGTTGGCTTCACAAATACATACTAGTATAATATAAAATCATGTGAGGCCACATAAGAACAATTAAGAGATCAATAAAGTATATATAATCAGATCATATTTAAATAAATCAAACGAGAGCAAATAAATTGAGATCAAATGACCAACCATGAAATTTTTCAAACTAAATGAAAACATTCTTTGTTTCACTTCTTGTCTATATTTTTTACCCACACATATATACAAATATATGTATTTTTTCGTTAGAGTATATGCATGTATATTTAAATTTATTATGAAGGAGTATTTAATTTTATATTCATAGTTTTGTAGATATTTGTTTTCTTTTGTTGAAATTTTCTTTTCTAGATTTTATTTAAATCTCGATATGGCCATTCTTACCTCAATATACATTTTGCGTGTATATTTGTCAGAAAATCTTGAAATCATCATAAAAGGAAGGAGTAAAATATTAAGTGGTAAGAACTATTTGATATTGTGACGTTAAATGCTGATATATAAACATTATGAGACTAAACATGATTAAATCCCTCTATATGGCTCTATAAATGAGTTGAATACACAAAGCATCAAAATCTCAAAACCATCCAAGCAGGGGCGTAGCTAGGATTGAAGGTTGGGCTGGGCCGGTACAAAGAATTTATCAGATATTTTTTTCCACATAAATTTTTACACTAAAAATATAAAGAATTTCCAAATTTGGGGCAGGCCGTGGCCCGGTTGGCCACCCCTCTACCTCCGTCCCTGCATCCAAGGCAAGCAACAACATATCAAAGATGGATAAAATGGGTCGTTATATATGTAAGAGCTTAAATTTGAAGTCTTTATGTAAGACTGTAAGAGCTAAACAACAGAGTTTTCAACCCTTAACACGTTTTAATTTTATGTCGGTCTCAAATATGTTCTATTATATACTTCGTATAATGGACTTATTGTCTCTCACAGATATGATCATGATCCATATCCAAAGGAACATGATAGCATCATCCAAATCACGACCTCACGATAGACGACATTGTACCAAACCAAACAAATGAAACAATTTATTATTTGGTATTTAAATTGAATATATTACATAAGCTAATCAAATTTAGAAGCTCTTTTTGTTCTTGTTTATTAACTAGCAAAGCTAAATTGAATTTATTAGTAGAGACAATAAATTTGCAAATTTTAGCATCTCATTAAATCTTTCCGGATGAGCGGTAAAAGATTAAGAATTTTCTCAATCCAAAACCTGAAAGATAAATAAATTATTAATCCGAGACGAAATGTCTCAGTATAGGACAAGAATGATTGCAAACCATCAATCTAAGACCTAAAATTCCACATATTTTTATTTTTTATTTTTTATTTATTTTTATTAATTCCATTGCTAATTTTTGATAATATTTTCTTCACATAAATTTATTAGTTTAATAAATTTATATCTTATTTAAAATTTTTAATATTAGAAAATAATAAAATTCATGACAAATTAGGTTCTAGATAAGTAGTTTTCAATCATTCGAGCTCTGTTCCAACACATTTCATATTTCAGGTCTCTGATTGATAGTTCATCTATCTTCCGAGTTCTGGATTGAGAAAATTTCAAAAAACTAATGAGAATTATATAAAGATACGCCAACAAGGTATTTCTTTTTTATTATCTTGTTTTATGTATTTCTAACATGTATTGTGTTTGTATACATATACAAATATGATATTTCTTTTCTATGACCTTGTTTATGTAACGCCTTTTTTAATCCAACTAGTATAGTACTCGTGCGATGCACATGAATATTTTATGAGATATTTTATTGCGATAAAAAGATAAGTACATTGAAAGTCATTGAAAAGTACATGCAAATGTGAAAGACGGTAATTAAACTGGATAAATTGATTCATTACTTAATTTGATAATGTTCTGGTTGAATTATTGAATTATGACAATAACAAACAATAAGTTAATTGAACCAAAAAATGACTTCAATTTTACTTATTTTGATTAATACACAATTCAACGCGCAAAAAAATACAATTACTTGTTTGATAAAAAACTTTTGTAATAAATCAGAAAGTTTTGTGATAAATCAGGAATCAATGAGAATGAAAAAATATTATGAACCATTTATTTATAGTATAACAGCTTATTAATCTCAATTCAGTACCAAGGATTGGGATATACTAAATAAATAAATTATGATCATCCCCTTTCAAAAAAATCTGATACACCAGAAATTATTGTGAATCATTTATTTATAGTATAGCAGCTTATTAACCCAAATTCAGTACAAAGGATTGGGTTCTTTACCTGCGAAAATCCATTGTTTTATGCTTGCACAAATCCACTTTATTAAACCCAAAATGAGATCCACTCATATACTCCGTAATGCATCATGCGATTCTAAAAAATTGGCCGACTCTCCCAAAACTTCTCGAAACCGACTACAAACCCCCTCTTCTTTATTGACCTTATCCAAAATTTTAGCAGCTCATTAAATCTTTCCGGATGAGCGGTAAAAGATTAAGAATTTTACCATAACTTGAAAGATAAATAAATTCGAGTCTCACTATAAGACTCGAATGATTGCAAACCATTAATCTAAGACCTAAACTTTCACATGTTTTGATTTTTTTTATTAATTCCATTGCTAATTTTTGATAATATTTTCTTCACATAAATTTATTAGTTTAATAAAATTATATCTTATTTAAAGTTTTTAAAATTAGAAAATAATAAAATTCATGACAACTTAGGTTCTAGATAAGTAGTTTTCAATCATTCGAGCTCTGTTCCAACACAATTATTATATTTTTATTGATAATAATAATATGATTATTACTTTTATTATTTATTTATTACAATTATTATTTCTATTATATTATTATTATTATTATTATTAGTATTCATAATAATAATAGTAACAGTAATAATATATTAATAATTATTTATATTATTACTATTAATATTAATATTTCTATTATATTTCATTATTATTATATGAATTAATTATAATTATAATTATAATTATAATTATAATTATAATTATAATTATAATTATAATTATAATTATAATTATAAATATTATAATTACAATTACAATTATAATTATAGAAATAATTATAATAAAAAATATGATTACAATTAGTAATATAGCTATACTTATAATTAGTGATTATTAATATAATAATTAAAATTATTATTGCAATTATAATAATTTCAATTTCAATTACAATTATTATTGCAATTATAATTTTTTTTTATTAAATTAGATTTAATATTAATAATATTATTAATATTATGATTATAATTGTAATAATAATTGTATGATAATAAATATAATTTTAATACTAATTTGAATTTTTATTACAATTATTATTAAAATTATAAGTATAATTTTTATAATTAGGATTATAATTATAATTATATTAATTAATATTTATAATAATTATAATCATAATTATAATTTTAGAAACATTCAAATCAGATCAGATCAGGATGATTCAGATCAGATCATAGAGATTCAGATCAGATTAGAAGTATTCAGATTAGATCAGAAAGATTCAGATCAGATTAGACCAGATCAGAAAGATTAAGATCAGATCAAAAAAATTCAGATCAGATTAGATCAGAACTTTAAAAATTCAGATCAGAAACATTCAGGTGAGGAGAACAACTTCTTATATGGTATAATTCTACGTACATACTCAGGCCCAATACATGAAAGTGTGACCCATTACATGGATGTCCAAAACGGTCCGTCCATACCAGCGAAACATCCAGCAACAACACCAGAAGACGCTGCTAGCCGGAATTTCATGCTGGATTTCGCCGTCGCCTGGGGCCGAACTGATGAGGAAGGAGACGACTCTGACATGTTCTGCAGCGCTTCCCTCCCTTCATCATCCGCAGTTTCGCCAGCTTTTGTTCAAAAGTAAACTAAATCAGGGAAGATGAAATCATTACAGGACGTTGTAGCTTTGGACTCTTCGGAATCAGCTGGCGGACGGTATCAGGTTCAGGAAACGGCTTTTTTTGATGAATATGCTGCCGATTTTCCGATTCCATGTTTTCTTCACTTTCTATCAGGGTTTCGAGCTATTTATAACCGCTGGTGGCACTTGCTCCGTTCATATCTTCTCGCCATTCAAGGTGCATTTCTTCTTCTTCCTCCTCTTCTTTTCAATCAAAGAGCTTTACTGGATACGCCATTTTCTTATTCAATTAGCTTCCTTCTAATATGTTTTTGCATTCAGTTCTTAATCTCAACTCTTCTACCATAATTTTACTTTCCCCTGGACTTAACAGCTTGCTTCCGTACACAGTAGGCCTTCATTACTAATTGAAGAGCCCTGGCCTAATTCAATCAGTTCTTCTTAATTTTTTTACCTCTGCAACCTTCTTAGGTGTGTTAATTATCAGCTGAATTGCTTGCAAATGCATGGTGAAACTATGCATAGCTTTTTTATTTTTTGGAAAGCATCCTTCTTTGAGATTTGTACTAGTGGTTTCTTTTTTCATAATTATACACTTTTGATCCTATGTTTACTCTTTTCTTTTTATTATTGTGGAATGAATGAAGGGTGTCGTTTCATTCTGAAATCTTTCATATGCTGTTTGCACTACAATATAGGATTCACTCTTCTTCAGAGAATAGGGAATTTGTCTTTCAAATAAAAGCTCACAGAAGAGGATCTGCAGTTGTTTATAGTTAACTTATCCGAGTTAATGCTAGTGATAACAAAAATGATAATATTTTGAAGTCTAAGAAAGGTTAGTTAGCAGTTACAAGATTGTAGAACTCTATACAAAATAAAAATTTATGGTAGCTATTTGATAAATATTCTAAGTTCTATTTCTGTAGTATTGTTTGCAGAGAGTTCCATCTAAATCTGATAAAAAATCTAACAGCATGATCAAAAGCATCCAAATCATTATATGTGAGGGGGAAACCGATTTATTTTATCCATTTAAACTTGAAGATCAAAACCAGAAGTTTTACCATTAATGTTTTAGTTTTTGGAAAGTGAATGTTAGTGATGATAGGATCTTTCATTAAACGTTTCCTAATTTTTCATGAATTCTAGTTGACTTATATGTATATGTACTGGTTAGTAGATTGATTTTTGTTAAGCTTACTTTCTACTTCTTACAATTACTTGAACAGGAGGGGGAGGGTGATAGTGGATTGCTTAAAGTGTTCGGGGTAAGGAAATTTTGACTTGGTGTCACATAATGGCTCATTTGCTTTTTACAGATATTTGTAACATCTTAGTTTCAAAAGTAAAAATTTAACAAATACACATATGATAGCATATTCGGTGGCTTGCGCATGATCACCACGTATAGCTGAACTAGATATGCATTTGTCAATTGAAATTAACGGTGTAGAAACGTGTCTGTTTATTAATCTGCATGAACTGATTAAAAGATTTAATAATGGTGGGCACAATTTTCTATAAATGTGTGCTTCCTTCTGCGGATAAGTAAATGCCTTGAGGAGGAAAAGGAAATATTAAACTTCCTTGGGAGTTTTGTGTAAGATGATCATCAATTAATTCTTAGTGTGTTGATTTGTTCTGTTAAATTCAACACTTTGCTTGTCTAAAGTTAGTTCTTCACTGTTATTATAGTGAAGTCAATGTAGCATTATTTACATTTTATATATGTAAATACTAGTGAATCATGCTTTAATTTCTTAACTAAATTAGTTTACACACGCATTCATTAGTCTTGTTGCAGGATAACATCATACTTTTTTTTTCAGGCTATTCTTCCATTTAGATAAAGATTCCCCTTTTGACAACTCTTGGTACTTGGCTAGTCCCTCTACTCTCTTCAAGATGAACAATCCTCAGCATGGTCAAAATGAAGTAAGCAATAGTATAATTAGCTTGGTGCATTGAAAGCTTAAGTAAAGGTTATGTCAATGTGTAAGTGTTTTATAAAACTACTTTTCAAGCGAGATTGTGTGAGCTATCCTCACAAAATTTTCCTTAACCCATTCCTGAACCTGGATAATAAAGGAAATTTGTTTTTGTCTATTGCTGTTGCCTTGGAAAATACAAACAAAATTTGAATATAATTAAGTGTATGTTTGGATCTCAGAAAATGGTAAGGAGGATATGGAAAGACAGTTCTTTCCTTTCAAATTTCAACTTTATTTTTCTTGTTTTCTACCCTTGAATTTCCTAGGCTCCAAACAGACCCTCGTGACTTTCTCTGCCCGTAGCCTTACTCCCTGCTTCAGTAGCAAGTGTACAGTGGTTGCCTCCTCTAGCCGTTACATACCCCCCCGCTTAAATGTATAATTTTCTTGCAGGAGCATGAACCTATTATCCCAGGATTCGAAACCCCGCCATCACCTTTGTCCAGTTATGACAATGTCTATAACATAAAAGAAGACGAAGCGCGGGGACACCCGCCTGAGGCTCCTCCATATCTTTTGGAACCTATGACCGTCAGGAGATTAACCACTGGTCAAGAGACGCCTGACCATACACCCAATCGTGTGGTCTTGAACCATCTCTGCACCAATGTGTATGACAGGAAGTTTTCATGGGAATGGGTAGGAGTGGCAACAACTCGCCGTGTTGGCTCAAAATACGTGACTGATGTTCTTTACAAACCGCCTCCTCAGAAGGGAAACGGGAACCCCAGCTGCACCAGAGATGCTCAAGTGTAATAGTTTTTTATATTTAAATATTTACTTATAACAAAACTTGCAGTGAAATGTTTGTAGTGTTAACTTAATTTCATAGCGTGCATTAGGGAATGCTCTGGTTTGCATCTTCCTCGTCATAAGACTCATAACCGTATGGCATCTGTAATGTTCAAAACTCTAAATAAATGAACGATAATAGTTACTGTATTTGATAGAGTTGATTGTCATAACCGATGTGCTTTTCAAACAAAGCTTATTCTCAACAGATCTTTTGCCCTAGTCTTACATGATACCGTTAGGGGTAAATCTGTAAATAGCTCTTGTGTAAAGTTATTCCTCTAACTACCTAATGTTATCTTTAGTCTTCAGGTCGAGTCAAAGTTCAAATAATAATGCATACAGAAGAATGTGAATTTTGTTTAAGATGAACTTCACACATGTCGGATCAGGGATGGACCCGGTCCGGTTCCAGTTCCGGGCCGGGCCCGGGCGGGCTTTTTTTCCAGTCACATGGGCCCGGAACCGGCCTGGGTTGATACCGGGTCCGGGCCTAACCTGGCCGGGCCGGACCCGGTTCAATGTTTTTTTTTTGGCTTTCTTATTATCCCCTGACCCCCCCCCTCACCCTTACCCCCCAAACCTCCTCAAAACACCCAGCCCTGCCCTAGGAAAAGAAAAAAAATGAAAAACCAAAAAAAAAAAAATGAACCGGGCCCGGCCTGAACCGCCCAGTCCGGTTCAACAAAAAGAGGGCCCGAGCCCGGCCCGCCCGACCCGCCCACACGGGCTAAAAGCCCGGAACCGGCCAACCGGGCCCGGTCCGGGCCGGGCCCGCACAGTAGCGGGCCGGTCCAGTTCGTTTTTTTGGACATCCAAAAAAGAAAATGAAAATGAAAATGAAAAATCTTTTTGGGACATCCAAAAAAGAAATTTGGCTAACCTTTTCTGGACGGAGGGAGTAAAAGAATTTTACACGATGTGCCATTTATTGACTCAATTACCACCCTTCTAATGTGTAGTATGTTTTTGTACTCGGTTTTCTATTCTAGTTCCTCATTATTGATTGATGAGCCAGGAGCTAATTTAATTAGTTCATTTTTACATGTTAAGAATGGTTAGGTGTCAAAAATAATAGGAGTAGCGAGTAGTTGAATTGCTCACTACAAAAAAACACTCGTTTAGTCACGGACCGTAGTCACGGATTTGGTCCGTGACTAGCCTAGTCACGGACTAGTCACGGAATATTCACGAAAATTCAAAAAAAAAATTAGTCACGGATTTGACCGTGACTACAGCCGTGACTACGCGTAGTCACGGAAATTTGTCCGTGACTAACATCCTCCGATTGCCCGTTTGTTTTTCCGACCTGGCTTGTTTTACTCCGGCGACATAGTCACGGCCACATCCGTGACTACAGCCGTGACTAAATTTAAAAAATAATTTTTCATCTCCCATAAATCAATCCGCAACGGTATTATGTACGGATAAATTTAGTCACGGCCATGTCCGTGACTATGTCCGTGACTACTTTGATTAACACGTCATTTACATGTCATTAACACGGATCGGACGCGTAATGGACACGGTTTTGCTTAGTGACGGACAAATCCGTGACTAAGTCGTGACTACATTTTTTATATATGCAGGAGCAGCTCATTCATTCAACAGAACCACACGAATTCATTCCCAGTATATGCAGTATCTGTTTGAAAGATCGAAGGATGTAGTCTGTCTTCTATCATTTTCCCCATTTATGCAGTTAAGGTATGTTATTTGAATTATTATTTTTATTTAGAATTAGTTGGTTCAATTTAAATTATTAAAATTATTAAATTAGTGATGTTGTTAATTAATTAACAACATATTCAACTGTAAGCGTAGTAATGTCATAAAATTAGTTAAACTGTTAGGTTTATAAAATAATTTAATTAAAATTAGTTAGCTAAACGTAGTTTTAAACGTAGTGATCTTTATGTTAAGTGAAATTAGTTAGTTAAACGTACGTTAGTAATGTGTTAATTAAGTGTATTGTGAATTGTTATTGTAATTGTGTATTATTTATTAATTCAAATGACCTTGTATACATGTTCAAATTATTGGGTTTAATTTGGTCATATTATTTAATTTAGTGAATTGGAATTGTTAATTGTGTAGTACTAATAACATTAAATGTCATTAATGTAATAATTTAGTGTAGGTTTAAATGTAGGTTTACAAAAATAATTTAATTAAAATTCGTTAGCTAAACGTAGGTTTAAACGTAGCTAGTGATGTGTTAATTATGTTATATTAGTTAGCTAAACGTGGGTTTAAACGTAGTGATGCATTAAAAGAGGACGGAATGAACTAGTTAAATTTAGTTAAATTTAACTAAATGAATTAGTTAAATTTAGTTAAACGTATGTTTAATTTAAATGTAGTGGTAATAAATTACTTAAATTTTTTTTAATATTAGTTAAATTTAAGTATTAGGTAATTGCTTATATTTTGTGAATTATTGTTGTGAATTGTGTGCATTTCATTTAATTTAGTGAAAATTAGTTAGTTGATTATTTAGTGAAATAACTCACTTAAAATTTGTTAGTATTATTGTTAGTATTTGAACGTGTATACTTTTTTATTATAATATTCAGGCATAATGTATAAACAAAATAGAAGTTGGATGTATGATAAAGATGCGGTATTGTACGGAATGCAATCAAATTTTCTCGAGGGAGTTGGGGAATTTATTGAATTTGCACTTGAACATCCGGCTTATATGAGTGGTGATAAAATAAGATGTCCATGTTCAAAGTGTAAAAATCTCAAATTTAAAGACCCACACGAAGTTGGGTATGATTTGTACGCGGTCGGTTTTGTTCCCAATTATTATAATTGGACTTCTCACGGCGAACCTTTGGATCCATCTGTTATACCACAAACGGTAGGTTCGTCTCGTTACGTCCCTCCAGAGATGAGTGCGTGGGGAGACCGTGCTGAAATGAGGTGGGACCAACAAATGGTATATGACGCATACGGTGTACCGATGTCTCAGTTCAACCCCCCACAACCACCTAACGACCCCCCTGAAGCCTCAACCTCGTATCAACCAGATGCGGATGAAAATCCGACATTTTATCAACCTTATGTGGATGAAGGTTTGGCTGAGAGATTTCAGGATGTTCTAAAAGCTGCCGACCAACCTCTGTATGCTGATTGTGAGGGATACTCTCAGCTATCCGCCGTTACTGAATTCATGAACATAAAAGCCGAATACAGTCTCCCTGAAACTTGCATGAATAGAGTCTTGCAGTCAGTAGGAGGGATGCTACCGCGAGATCATACCCTTCCGGATTCATATTACCACATGAAGCAGTTAATGTCTAAGTTGGGGCTACCTTGTGTTGAAATTGATGCGTGCCCGGAAGGGTGTATGTTGTTCTGGAAGGAGGATGAGGCACTTGAGTTCTGCAAGTTCTGTGGTGGAGACAGATACAAACCTGTTCGTCAAGGTAAAAAGAAACCACGACATAGGTCTGCACTGTCTAAACTGTATTACCTCCCAATAGCTCCTCGACTGCAGAGGATGTACGCTTCGACTGCTACTGCGAAACACATGACATGGCATGTTGAGCACGAAACCAACGACGGTATGATGGCTCACCCTTCGGACTGTGAAGCCTGGAGACACTTTGACCGCTGTCATCCTCAGTTTGCTATGGAGCCACGAAATGTGCGGCTGGGATTGTGCTCAGATGGATTTGCTCCTTTTGGCAGGTTTGGCAAGAACTATTCATGTTGGCCGGTCATGTTAACTCCTTACAATCTCCCTCCCGACATGTGCATGAAAAGTCATTTCATATTTTTGTCTTTAATTTGTCCGGGTTCCAAGGATCCTGGGCGAAAGATAGACATTTATCTCCAACCCCTTATCGAGGAGATGAAAGAACTGTGGGCCGTTGGGACACCAACTTATGATGTTTCATCAGATAAAATGTTTATCATGAAAGCTGCCATCATTTGGACCATTAGCGACTTCCCTGCCTATGGCATGCTTTCGGGATGGAGCACACACGGTTTGATGGGATGTCCGATATGTATGGAGAAATCAGGTGCCAACTGGCTGAGTTACAGCAAAAAAGGAAGTTACTTTGATTGTCACCGCAAGTTTCTCCCGGAAAGGCACCGATATCGAAAGGACAAGAAGTCTTTCATTAGAGGCAGAGCGGTACGAGAGAGCCCACCCTCGAGATTGACCGGTGAAGAAATTTATAACCGGGTTCGACGTTTTCCTACGGCTATGGAAGAGCCAAACCAAGAGCCATATGGGTATTGTGATACCCATAAGTGGACAAAGAGGAGCATATTCTGGGAGTTGCCTTATTGGAAAGACCTTCTCATCCGTCACAATTTAGATGTCATGCACACTGAGAAGAACGTCTTTGAGCGTGACGTCATCACCAGAAGGAAGAGACCTGCCCGGAACGATGACATTGGCGAGGATTTATATGAAAATGTAGTTTCCATCTTCAATTACCCAGGCAGAGGTAAAGGTGCTGCGACACAACGATACATCGTGGGTGGGGAATTGCAAATTGCACATACTTATATCCTCATGAATTGTCCAGAAATCTCACCGTTTTATCAGTAAGTTAAATTTGTAGTTATAATTGTAATACTTATCAATTAAATTTGTAGATAATTTATAATTTTTTTATTTTTGAATTCACAGTGAATTCAGAGCTTCTTTATCAGCCTTTCCTGAGAATCAAATTGATGCATTGGTAGACTCTGATTTTGTAAATTGGTACAAGTATCAGGTATATATATACACACACATTAATTATATATATATTATTAAGTAAGATTTTTCAATATTTACCTAATGTTATTATCATGTTTATATTTACAGATCAATAGTCGTGGGATTGTCGACCCTTTGTTAGTATCATTAGCGTGGGGCCCTAGTGCCAGTGCCAAAGTGTGGCGGCAATATGTGATAAACGGTTACACATATCACACAACCGATTACGGAGAGGGCCGACCAACAACGAACAGCGGGTTATGTGTCCCGACCATCGGTTATGATAACTCGGAAACCAATTTTTTTGGTGTCCTGCAGGAGATTCTGGAACTTGAGATGCCTTCTTGTGCGAAAAAATTGACATGCGTTCTGTTCCGTTGCACATGGGTCGACCCCACACGTGGCGTGCGCAAAAATCCGAAGTATAATATGATTGACGTCAACCAGTCTCGTGTGTACCCGAAAAATGAGCCTTTCATACTCGCCCAACAAGCAGCGCAGATTTATTATGCAGAATATCCTTCAACAAGGCGGACACAGAATCCTTGGGTGTGTGCATGTCCTGTCCGTCCGAACAAAATAAAATCACAAACTCAACACAAGGACGTTGATCTAGATGCTTTTCAGCAACAATTTTTCCAACCTCCGCCTATTGTTGAGACGGTCAACTATGACATCCAATTAAGTGATCCAAATGGCGGACTAGTTGAAGTCATGCCAGAAACGCACCTTCCAGACCCAACCATTCCATCTGAGCGCGAAATTGAGGAAATGTATGTAGCACAACAAAACGCTCAATATCAGGAAGAAGGTGAATGGATAGACGGTTCAGATACAGAAGAAGATACTGTATATGTAGAAAATGACGATTCTGATAGCGAATAATTGTGCTGTTGTAATTTCAATTTTATTGACTTCTAATATTTGTGCAGATTTCTTCATCATTATATTACTCCAACAATATTTGAATTTTTTTCTATCTTTATCATTATTATTTATGAACAAAAAATTACTCCATATTAATTCAACCACAACAAGTTTTTTATATCCATATTATAAATTCAAAATAAAATTTTTCACAATTCGAAGTTTGAAAATTAAAATTGGGGTTTTTCCCTTAATAGTACTAAATTGAGGCTGATTTACAAAAAAGTGACCATATTTACATTTAGACAAAAATGGTACTCATGCACAGTTACATTTCCGTAGTGACATTTTCAAAGTTAATCTCCACAGTGACATCCCCGCCATCACCGACCACAGTGACACCTCCTCTGCCATGACATGTGTCACTGACATCACTGTCGCTGCCGCAGGTCGTTGCCGCCGCCGCCACAGGTCGCCGCCAACGTTGCCGGTCACAGTGACAACTCGGCAGTGACAACTCGACAATGACAACTCGACAGTGACAACTCTGTAGTGAGCCCCAACCTTTACCACACACCACAGTGACATCTTCGCCATCCGACCACCGCCGCCTCCAGCCACCATCGCCGGCCACAGTGACAAGTTTACGGTGACGTCTTCGTAGTGACAATTTCATAGTGACTTACAAATTAATCCGGCAACCGCCCTCCGGTAAGTTTCCACGCCACACCACATTCTACCACCACATTCCGCCACCACTGTCACGCCATTGCCGCATTCTACCACTACACCGCCGCACCACGTGACCCCAAAGCCGCCAAAACAACCACCTCCCTGCCTCACCCGAGCCCCAGCAGCCCCAACACCACCAGATCTGAAATAGGGGGGCGGATTGAGACCGATGAAGCTAGGGAACAAGAAGAAGGAGAAGGTATCGTGCAGAGAAGAAGAAGAAGATGGCGACTCACCCTAGCCCAAAATAGGGCGGCGACGGCGGCGGAATTGCCACGGCCGCGATTGACAGTCGTTGGAGGCGAGGCGAGGCGTAGGAAGAAGACATGGGCGAGGGCGGCGGTCTCCGTCACCCTGTCCGGGGAGGTGACGGCGGCGTCTTTAGGGGTGGTGTCCTGTGCTCCTGCGACGGCCTGGGGGAGGTGTTCTCTGCTTCCTACGATGGCCTGGGGAGCTCCTTGGTTGATGGTTAGTTGACTTGGATTGAGAGATGAAAATGGGCTGGAACGAATGAAATATGATGGGCCGAGTAAGTCTAGTTTTGGAAAAAAGGAAAAGTAGTCTCTTTTTTGTATTTCACAAAGCTATTAGTACTATTTGTGTCTTTATTCCATTAAAATTTACCCAATACCAAATATGAAATTACTCTATATTATATTCTTTTGTTTTCAAATTCGAAAATTCAAATATTATTTTTGATTTTTCTAAATTCGAAAATTTATTTTAATAATTTTTAATAATTCGAAATTCGAAAATTAATTTTAATAATTCTAAGTCTATTCGAAAATTAACAAAATTCGAAAATAAAAAAAAAAAAGTAATTTACTTTTACTAATCTGAATATTATAATAAATTTAGATATTAATAAACAACTAACAGAGATTTATTTATCAAATTTCAAAGATAAATACAAAACACACAATGAAATTGTCACATATTATTTATCAAACAACTAACATAGATTTATTTATCACATTAACCTAACTAACATTATTCATTCCTCAATCGGAAACTTTCAAGAGGCCTAGCCCACAACTCCTGAATTTTCATTCGAGCTTCTTCGTTGATCGGGTCCATATACTCTGAAACTTCTTGTGCACGTTGAAGCATCCGACACAAATTTCTTGCTTTTGACTTGCCCAACGAGTCGGATTCTTCATCTTTATAATCGCCAAAACTTTCAAGGGGTCTAGACATCAACTCCTTGATTCTCTCGCCGAAACTTTCAAGGTTCGTGAACTTTGGTGGAACCTTTTCAAGGTAAAAAAAATGAATTTTCTCTGCGTAATTGTATTAACGTAACATTTGATAAAAGATAAATTAATTTAATTGTTTTTTATAAAGGGTCGGTTTCGATGGACTGAAGCCCAAGGTCCAGCTATTCTTAGAGCGTATAACGCTAGGATTTCAAATTGGCTTCGTCCTACTTTTAGGCGTGCCCGAACGAGCGGGGTAAAGTCTGGATGGTGTTCGGATGAGGTGTGGGCTAACCTCGTCCGTCACTGGTCTTCTGATCCAAACTTCTTGGCAAGAAGTCAATCCGGTAAGAAAAACCGGATGTCCGAGAAAGCCTTAGAAACCCAATGGCATGGGGGCCGCAAACCTCAGAGTAGACATAAGGAAGATCTTGTAAGTATTTTTCAAAAAACTTTACACAATTACAACCCTTTATTTTAACAATTAATTATGGATCTTAAGCCTTTTTTCCAAATTGTAGTCGGGGCCTGAGAAGAAGAAGGTCTCAATTCTCAAGGTCATCAAGCACTGCTGGACAAAGCACGGCGATGAGTCCGATGCCGATCTGCCACCCCGCCTCGCTGAAATCGAAGTAAGTAACACTATTTTGTTACTTATTTCCATTCAAAATCAAATTGAGTAACATTAAATTAACAATTTTTGTACATGTAGTCAAAGTATAACACAAATGTTGAGAAGAGGCGGGCAGAATTAGGCTTGACTCAGGAGGATGAGATTGATTCTGATGTGGAGGATGATGCCATCTTTGAGGCAGTTGGGGTGTACAAGGGCCGGGTCCCGTGCATGGGGGCTGAGGGGCAACGGATCTTGTACGACCGCAGCGGTGCTTCATCTTCCCGATCAAGGCGCGGAGAGGATCCGCGTATCGCTCAAATGCAGCGGGAGATGGAGGAGCAGCAGCGGGCCTTGGCTGAGCAGCAGCGCGCCTTGGAGGAGCAACGCAAAAAAGATGAAGAAACAAGGGCCCGGCTGGAAGAGATGGAACGGATCCTCAGCGCCGGAATTCGGAATCAGCCTCAGCCTCAGCCGTATGTACTGCACCCCGAGCAGACACCTCAAGTTCCGCACATGGGCGGTTATTTCCGTACCAACTCTGCTACCGGGTTGCCTTCATTTGGTTCTATTCAGGATATCAATTTTCACAACCTGTTTCAAACATCTGGAGGCAGCCAAGCAGGTGGCAGTCGCGGAGGTGGCAGTCGCGGAGGAGGCAGTCGCGGTGGCAATCGAGAAGGCCAAGCTGGAGACAACCGAGAACATGAGACCGAAGAAGATTACCTATATGATGATTCTAGATATTATCATAATGGTAACCGGAGGAGCTTGTAAATGATATACATTTTTATTTGAACATTGTTTATTTACTATAATTCTATTGTGCTTATTATTACTTTTATTTCAGTCTGTTTGGTTATGAAATGTGTGTTCTAGTAGTCTGTTTATTACTTTTATTCTACAAATATTTTTTAAAATAAACTTTTCTAAAGAATAATTAAAAAAAAATTTATTTTTTTTATAAAACAAAAAAACTTTTTTTTTAAAAAAAAAAAAACTTTAGTCACGGATCCGAGCCGTGACTAAATTCTAGACCGATTTTGTAAAAAGTTATTTTTCAAATTTATTTTTTTTAAAAAATAAAAAAGTAGTCACGGATCAAGTCCGTGACTAAAATTTGAAATTTGAAAATTTAAACCGTAACATTTGGCGGTTCATTTTTTTAAATTTGAAAGTTTAGTCACGGAAACGGTCCGTGACTAAGCCGTGACTACGCTAAGTCACGGATAAAATGACCGTGACTAGAATTAGTCACGCCCAAACAGTCACGGATTTAGTCACGGACAAAGTCCGTGACTAGCGGAGTTAGTCACGGATTTTTTATACTACGGTCCGTGACTAAATCCGTGACTAACTCCGTGTTTTTTTGTAGTGGCTTGCGCGTGTGTGTAGCTTTTTTACGATGATTGGAAATCTTGTGTACCAATAATTTATTTATTTCGTAATAATCTACTTTAGGTAATAATGTAATATCGTTAATTTTTTATTGTTGTTCATGGGATGAAGGGTATCATTTCATTCTGAAGTTTTTAAAATGTATTGTTTGTAATGATCTACTACTACAATATAGGACTCATTCTTTAAAGAATAATGAACTTGTCGTTTAAATAAAGTAACACACGAAGTCTGTTAAGTCCAATAGGCTAGGGTTTGTTTGCAATTGATTCTCCTTAAAAAAGTACTTTTTGGAAAAAGTGATTAGTAGTAAAAGTTGATTGTCTTTGGTAAAATAAGTGTTTTTTGTGTAATAGAAAGAGTAAAAGCACTTTTCACACGAAAGCCGAGAAAAGTAAAAGTTGGTAGTGTTTAGTAAAATAAGTGATCTTTTAAGCCAAAAGCTGGGAAGTGCTTTTTTCTAGAGTTTGCAATCAAAGCCTAACTACCAGTTACAAGATGGTAAAACCCTTTTATCGGGCTAAAAAATTTAAAAAAATATAAATAACTTTTCACTTATTACCGTTCAGTTATACATTTTTTGCAATTTCCATTATATCACTTAAACTTAAAATATAAATACTTTATCATTAAAAATAGACAAAACCTATACTGTAATTCACTAGAATTTAACGATAACTATATCATATAACTTATAGATATAATAGTATAAAATTAAGAAAACAGAAAGAATTTAAAAACATTAAAATGGGAAAAAATAGAAAATTTAGATTTTTAGAATTAAGATAGCCTACAAGATTAAATAAAATGTATTTTCATGAAAAAATCTAGAATAAAGTTCCAAATCGTAAAAAATTTAATCATAGTTTATTTTTGAAAAACAGAAAATGTAAATTTAAATAAAGAAAAATAATAAATTGGTAACAAAACTAGGAAAAACAAATTGGAAAAAGGAAAAAGATAGGGTTTTTTACAAGAATATTACTAAAATAAAACTTATTTACAAGAATATTACTAAAATAAAACTTATTTACAAGAATATGAAATCTTAGTGAAAATAAATAAAAAATGACCAAAAAGTTTATTTTTCTTCAGTACATTTATAGAATTTTCGTAAATATTTTTACATGTTTAAAAATATTAGTTTTGAAATTTATAAAAATATTTCTATATCTTTTGAAAATTGAGAGTTGATAGCTGGGATTAATAAAAAACGATTGACTATAGTTGAAATTATTTATAGCTGATGCATAGTTCACATTTAAAATTGATCTACTATACCGGGTTGTAGTCGGTCGGGGAATATTTTTGGAAAATGGTCTTATAGTGGGGATCACTTGGAAATATCAATAATTAAGATTACTTTCAATTTACCCTTTTAATTCCATATCTACAACAGAATATTACTAGGAAATTTAAATACTGAACTTTTTTATATTTGAATGAAGTTTTTATCATGTTATGCGATTATTCGGAAAAGGGGGCAACGTATTATTTTAACGTTTTTTTAATCTTCAAAACGGTTGACTTAAATTGGTATCAAAACATTCAGATAGGGGATGAAACGACAAAATGACCACATGCAACTGTCAGCCCTCGAACCAGACATAGAGCCAATAACCTCCAAAAAAGTAATATAACTCGCTGATCCTATGATGGGCATAATTGAGCCATTGACGGTTAAAACAGACCTCACATCACCCAATTCTAATGCAAAGAGTCTTACAAGTTACAACAATAAAAATAATCAACAAAAAAATAAACAGTCTGCTAATGAAAATAAATAGGAAGAAAACAGTAAAATTAAAATACTGCCTCTCAGACCTTAAACTAACCTACACTCCATGACCGCGGTTCAGGAGGGGGACAATCCAATAGCATGCTATAGTACTGTAGCTTTTTCCGCTCCTTGAAATTGTTGGAATTAGTCCAAACTATTATTCCTAAAATTATGGGCATAACCCATGATCCTATTTTGTGGCTTAGTTGGTTAGTTTCTTTCCTGATTTTTAGAATAGAGGAGTAGTGCTCTGTTAGCTAGCTATTTCTTGCTTTATTTAAATCGCAGCAGACTTTGTTTTCCATGCATGTATTTTGTAGTATTCACTTTAATTGAAAGTGTGGTTCTTCACTTTTGTTAGCACCAGGCAGTTTAATTCTTGCCCCCAAAGTGTTTGTTATATTGCCTCAATAAGATTATTGCTCTTGTCTACATTTTTTCAGAAATCCTAGCTGGGCAGTGAACTACACTTGGTATCAGAGCCTCGTTGGTGAAGTGAATGCCCAAATACATGCCTCGGAATTCAACCATGGACGGTTCTAAAAACAAAGAAGGAGCAGTCAGTCTCCAGTACCCGATGCTTGCCAAAAACAACTACACTCCATGGGCTATCAAGATGAAAGCAAACCTATTATCCCAGAATTCGAAACCCCGCCATCACCTTTGTCCAGTTATGACAATGTCTATAACATAGAAGAAGATGAAGCGCGGGGACACCCGCCTGAGGCTCCTCCATATCTTTTGGAGCCTATGACCGTCAGGAGATTAACCACTGGTCAAGAGACGCCTGACCATACACCCAATCGTGTGGTCTTGAACCATCTCTGCACCAATGTGTATGACAGGAAGTTTTCATGGGAATCGGTAGGAGTGGCAACAACTCGCCGCGTTGGCTCAAAATACGTGACCGATGTTCTTTACAAACCGCCTCCTCAGAAGGGAAACGGGAACCCCAGCTGCACCAGAGATGCTCAAGTGTAATAGTTTTTTATATTTAAATATTTACTTATAATAAAACTTGCAGTGAAATGTTTATAGTGTTAACTTAATTTCATAGCGTGCATTAGGGAATGCTCTGGTTTGCATCTTCCTCGTCATAACCGTATGGAATCTGTAATGTTCAAAATTCTAAATAAATGAACGATAATAGTTATTTGATAGAGTTGGTTGTCATAACCGATGTGCTTTTCAAACAAAGCCTTATTTCTCAACAGATATTTTGCCCTAGTCTTACATGATACCATTAGGGGTAAATCTGTAAACAGCTTTTATATAAAGTTATTCCTCATTCCTCTAATTACCTAATGTTATCTTTAGTCTTCAGGTCGAGTCAAAGTTCAAATAACAATGCATAAAGAAAAATGGGAATTTTGTTTAAGATGAACTTTTGACATGTCGGAATGGGGGATAGAAGGCAGAGTTAGCATTTTTATGTTTGTTATTATTGATAAATCCATTTTTGTTACGTAAACAATACATGTTTAAATGTATTTTTCATTTATTTAATCTTGTGGCTGATCCCTTTACCTGAAATAAAAGAAACATACTCCATATAACATGAGTACTAATATATACAAAAAAAATTGTATGGTAATAATAATTTATCTAGTCCTGAAATAAATGTCATATTTAAGAGTTCAACTGTCCTTGATATCTCAAAGGAAGTACCTCATTTGAATGATCATAAGTAGGGATGGACCTAGCTAGCTCGGTTCAGTCCCAATTCAAGGCCGAGATTGCCTGGTCCAAAAAAAAATTGGTTGGGCCCGGGTCCGAACTCCCAAACCGCCTTTTTCTGAGTCTGGGCCGGTTTCGAACACCCAGTCGTTCCGGTTCCGGTTCCGGATCGGTTCTTGTTATTTGTTTTTTTCCTTTTTTGGCCGGAGTGAAGCTTTAGAAAACCTGGGTCAGGACCAGAACTGCCCGATTTGGTCCCGAAAACTGTGGACCAGGATCGTGACCGCCTGGTACCCGGTCGGGTACTCGGTCCTGCATCAAGTCGGTTCTCTGGACCCGGTCCGGTCCGGGACTGCCGATTGTGATTGTGATTGTTATTGCGATTGTTAGAACTTCAATGGGTGAAGAAGGGCAAAAGTTCCTCCTCTTCGCTCTGCCTCCTCCTACTAATATGTAATATGTTTTATACTCAGTTTTGTAGTCTAGTTCCCCATTATTGATTGATGAGCTATGAGCTATTTTAATTAGTTCATTTGTACATGTTAAGAAGTGTTAGGTGTCAAAAATTATACTCCGTAGTTGAATTGCTAGTGCATGTGTAGCTTTTTTACTATTGTTGGAAAGCATGTGTACTAATAGTTGATTTTTTCCCACAATTATCTACTCTTGTTTTTTTAAATATTTCAGAGGGGCTGGGGGAGCCTGGAGTAATCAGGCTCATTCTATTGAGTTTCGAACCCTTATGTGCCTAACAAGGTTGAACTCGAGACCTTCCACTAAGCAAAATAATCTCACTGACCTCACAGCTGGGCTGGAATAAACAATAACACGGGATCTACTACTACAATATAGGACTCATTCTTCTTCGAAGAACAATGAACTTTTGGTTTAAATAGAATAACACACGAAGTCTGTTTAAGTCTAAGAGGCTAACTATCGGTTACAATATAGTAAAACCCTTTTATTTTTTTTAGTTTTGTTTGAGCTAGACAATGAAAAAATGATGTGTTATTTAGCATTATGATTTGCAAGGAGTTCATCTAAATCTGATTAAAAATCTAACAACAGGATTAAACACATCCAAATAGTTACGTAGTATAATTAAGGAATTGATTAACTTTGACCATTCTAAAGTTGTAGATCAAAACCGAGAGTTAACCTTAAGCTCGCTTACTAGGTCTTACCGCCGTTGTTTAAAATATTTAAACATTTTAATCATAATAGTAGTTTAAAATAAAACACGTACCGTTATCATTGTATTGTCGATGGCATAATCTAATAGTAGATTAGATGGTTTAAAATGTTTGGATAATAATGGAATAATAGATTGGGAAAACTGTCAAATAGGTCCATCAACTTTTAACAAAAAGTTAATCAAGTCCACATACTCTTTAGTAAGTCAATTAAGTCCTGGAAGTATGAAAAAATCACCAAATTGGCATTTTTATAGGTCATCTACCAGTTAGCCGGTTGATTGCTGACATGGACATCCATGGTAGCTTTTTTTACTGTTTCATAATTTTTTTTGGTGACAACTCCGGTACCCATTTAAAAAATGAGGTACCGTACCTACCATGCATTTGATTGGTCTAAAGCATTAAATCCCTTTTAATTTAGATTTAAATAATTCAACTGCATGATTCTGATTGGTCCATGTGAAGTAAGGTACGGTACCTTATGGGTACCATAGAATCTACCATTTTTTTATTCTTTTCCATTTTCTCTTTCCTTTTTCTCTTTTTTTTCTCTTTTCCACTCTTGGTTTCTTCTTTCTGCGTGCAGGTCGACTACTTTTCCAGGCCTCCATATCCACGCATATGTAATCCGCTTCAGCCTCCACGATCCCGACCTCCACCATACCCACTGACTCTGCGGTCACCGCCTCCAGCTCATCTACTGCAGAGACCTCTGCATGCCTCCCCGACCTCCATAGCCACCGCCTCTAAGGTCTCTCCTCCGCCACCCAGCCCACGGCCCACCCCTACATCCATAGACCATAGTCACTAACTTAAAGTCTCCATCTCTTGCACCTACCTCCATAGCCAGGCCCCCACACCCGTCCTAATACCTGCACCTTTTCCGCCCTTGCTACATAACCACGGAGCCACCCAGGGCCGGTCCCGAGAAAATGAGGGCCCTGTGCAACAACAAAAATCAGGCCTTTCTTTTATATCGTTAATAGAAATGCTATTTCAATTGAAATGGTAAATTGTTAAAACGGAGTAGTCGTAATTTATTAAAAAATTATTTCAAAATAGAAGTTGCTAGTATTAACTAACAGTAATAAATCCAAGAAAAAAATTATTTATGTATAAAGTTATATAGTGAAACAAAAACAAATTTAACAGCCTAAGAACCTATTAATATCATTTTTTTGAACTCAAATTACAAAATTAATTCATAAAGAACCATTACTCTCTATTAGTTATGAATTTATATACCTAGAATAGTGGAGTCCTTCCGTCCTAGATGTGTCCGAATCGCCGCAGCAACTTAGAAATCAGGATGGCTTGAGGCTGGAGCAGAGCCTGGAGACGGAGAGTCGTCCGCACGTCGCTCGTCTCGCTCAGTCACTCGTTATGCCCTTTGGCCTATACACTTCCTCTTTCGCAGATTGTTATGCTCGTCCCGCTCCTTTTTGTTCGCTATTGGGCTGACTAGCTTATACGGAGTAGTAGACTAGTAGTAATACTACTACTAATTTATTTTTTTGGGCCTTCCATATTTTTGGGCCATGTGCGGTCAGACACCCTACACACCCCCTGGGCCGGCCCTGGAGCCACCTATCCCTTTAGTTTCATCGTGATTGCCATCAGTTTAGGCAAGAAAGAAAAAGAAAATTGAGATTAGGACAGGTTGATGAGAAGCGGAAGAGGCGTGGACTTGGATTGATGAAGAAAAAGGAATTGCCATTAATGGAGTTAAGCTGGGCTGAGGGCTTAAACAGATGGGAAAAAAACGAAAGAAAGAGAAAGAGAAAGGAGGGAGAAAGAAAAGAGAGAGAAAGAAATAGGAAAAGAAAAGATCAAAAGAAACATTATAAAAAAATTAGAAAACCTTAAAAAACACCAGCTGGGCATACAATGCTGGCAAGTTACTGGGTAACCGTTTGGTTACCTGTAAAATGGCTGATTTGGTTAATTTTTGACACTTTCGTTGATTTAATTGACTCGTTAAAAAGTATATGGACTCAATAGACTTTTCATTAAAAGTATGTGGATTTATTTGATAGTTTTCCCCTGTTAAATAGTGTTTAAATTATTTAATTGTAATAGTTTTGTGAAGTCAAAGTTATAACTAAAGAGCCCTTATGAGGACGTGGTACCAAAAAATTAAAAAATGGATATTAGTTAAATTAGATGCCTAATCATGTGTTGTTATATGGAGTATTTTATAATTTTCAATGGTAATATGACATCATCTTAGGCGTGTATTGAATATGGATTGTGGTGGACTTTTTTTAATCCATGGACTTCTAAAAAAGTTTATGGACTTTTAAATCCATAGATTTTTTATGAATGAATTCTATTGCCTTTTAAATCTATGAATAAGTTTATAGACTTTTAAAAAGTCCATAGACTTTTAAATTCGACTGCCACTGCCGGTCGTCGGAATTTCACCTAGATCGCCGCTACAGATTTGCCTGTGCCTCCGTCACTTGAGTTCGTTGCCAACAAAATGACTTTGGTTATGCAAGGGGAATATGAGAAATTAATTAATTATATTAGGAGTAGAAATGTAATATTTAGTTATATTTAAAGAAAATCAAATATATGGTCATACTTTGGTAAAATGCTACAACGTATGTTTTAGTCCTACAATGAGTAATTTCCTATGTGTAATATGTTAAAAAACAATTAAATAAATAAGTAAACAAATGAAACAAATGTAATTCATCTAGCAACGTTAAAAAGAAACTCAAAGTTTCGAGAATGCTCAACAATCTCGATCTATTTATGATTAATTGTTATACTCCGTGTTAGAGATATTTTTTATGAATTGTGATCAATGTTTTAAATAGCCTTTTTGTACATAATAGTTTATTTATTTATAGATTATGCCTTATTTGGTAAAGACATGCTTGCCTAAATAGGAATGGGCCTCCTAAAAGTTGGAGCCTCAATCATTTGTTAACCTACCATTCTCCAAGGCTATAAATATGTCTTTTTGGAGAATGAGTAGGTTAAGATTTCCCAGATATTCTCATACCCTAGAGCCGCAGTGCTATTTGTCTGAGAGAAGTTTTTACGCTGCCTTTCATATCATTCTAAAACTTCATCTCCTTCAATGGAAAGCTTCTTCTATTCATATTGATCAAATCTCATAAATTGTAGAATAGAAAACAGGGATCTAACATCTGGTATCAGAGCCGGAGCTGATCGATCGATTGAAGGCTGGAAAAGGCTTTTGCGCAATTCTTCATCGGCGAAGTTTTGCACTTGAGCGATCTTCTGTTCTGTTTTTTTTTTGTTATTTTTGCAGGAAAATGTTTACAGGAAAGTGTTTCTA